CGTAATAACCTTATAGTAAGTGCAATGTGATCGACTGTTTAGGGGCAAGATATATGTCAGCGTCAATCGAGAATGTATCAAAATATACCGCTTTGCTTTCAGCGAAAAAAAAGTGAGGGTTCGAGTTAGGTGCGCTTAGGATACGGTATATTAGACTGAATTCTTTTGTGTTATCCGTGCTTATTGGAATGATTAATTACAGAGAATGAAATCACAATTATAACGCGAAGAATCAGTCGATCTTGGATAACCTTATGTGATGTTTGGAATATGGGAAAATAACTGTCAGCATATCAACTAAGCTTTGTTTTAAAGTTTAGCACTTTTAAACCTTACATGGACACTGTGAGTATTTAATACAAATTATACACTTATCAAGTAATTACTGTTTCAATTTGATAAGAACCTTCGTAGTTCCCGGGAGTTTATCACATTACTCTTTCAGTATTCATAAAAGTAATAGGGAGAGCATGCCTTGTTAATCTAGACAAATGTTGAATAACGAGGCCAGTGTTTTTGTTCCCCTTCTTTCTTATTCCCATAATCATACTGATGATAATATTGCGTCAAATGATATATTTATTAGTATATTTTTCCAAATTATTTTTCAACATAATGCACCCACGTTGTGACCACATCCAAAAACTGACTAATATGTATTTGTGTAATACCGGGTAATTAGTTTGAATATCTAAATGACGGTGAACATACTGCTACGGTAGGTCATCATTACTCAAGCTGAACAATGAATGAGAGCCAATAGTTGTTTCGTGTAGCATGGGAGGGTCATGCATCTTTGGTCGCCACCTCTTTCAATTCCCAAACATTAGTTATTCAGTTATCGTTATCAGATCGTCATTACTAACTTAGTCAGTACTTTAATGCCGATACATTTATTCTTTTAATGCGCTTATAAATCGATACTGTCGGCATTTCGTTTTTTTTTCTGAGCCACTACAGCGTTGATTTTGATCGAGTATATATACGTAGTTATAATATTTCAAAATAATTTACGTCATTTTATTACTACCTTATACTAAAATATATTTAGATATTCAGAGTACTAACGAATTCCAACTTATAGTCCGGTTAGACTTAAAATACACCACGAATATTCACTTTTGAGATATAATTTTTGGTATGTGTTGGTTCTAGGATATCTAAGCTTCGTCGTCCTGTACTTCGTTTAGTAATTCGAACTTCCCAGTTTGCGTAAAAAAGAAGAGTTTCGCGATTTTGACATCGAAAATGCCTTTGCTTCAATATTTGCTGGGGGACGGCCGCTTAGGTATGTGCTCTGTAACTCACAACACATGAACCTAAAAACGTTAGGTAATCAAACAAAAATTATGTTGTATTAAAGTCCAAAAAGTACGTTCAAGGTCTTCATTTTCTTCGTAGCATAAAAACGATTTACTCCCTCGCTTATTGTGACACCCTCAAATCAACTGATTTTCATTCCCCTCAAGAGTCAAAATGGTATGTGCCTCCATTTTACGCTACGACTGGAAAAATTCTTTTTTGCTTGACGTGTTCATTTGCCTTCTATTACGTTTCAGTAGCTGTCACTGTCGCATTCTTGTTTTGCCGATAACATTTTGGTTCAAATCCACGTAGCTATCGCCGAAAATTCAAGAAATCATTCATTTCTTTGTCAACTAACATGCCGGAAATCAAATTAGCATAACAATGCGCTCGAAGGTTGTTGCCATTTATTCGACAGCTTTCCACACTAGTACCACACTACATACAACTAAAACATTTAAACCTTTGTTGGGGAATTCACGTGTAAATTGCGTTTTTAAGTCGCGTACCATAAATTGCGTTTTACAGTCCCTCAAGTTTGTTCCAAAGACTGCAGTCGCACCAGAGATAATCAGAACATTGATTCGTTGCAAAAACGTTCGTCGTTAAATTCACGTTTAAAAACGTTTTTAACCTTTGTGAATCGATGATAAGCAAACAAGCATGGTAGATTGGCCCCGACTTTCTGTCGATAGGAAACGATTTTCATAGGCGCAGGTCGTTTAGATCGGACGGTTACTTTTGTTTCAGGTTCGTCGTTGTTTTGGGTGAATATAGAACATGTTCGAGCCCAAAATTGTAGCAATAATGTTCACGTCGCTGTACGTTAAAACACAATCTCGAACTTGACAACATTCACTTACGGACCACTAAGATTGATGATTCGATTGCTGACCGGCCGGGGATAGCTGCATTTAGTGTTCATTTCTATGCAATATAAGATCATATCAATGCTGTGGGCGGCGAAGGCTGACAGATTGTTTTGGTTCTGTGGCCGGCTCTCATGCCTGTCAAGTATGAACAAAATCAGCCAAGCCAAAAAAATCACAGAAGAGTTAAAAAGCAATTCATGGTGAACTGTAACCCCAACTTTGGGGTCGAATTTCTCAGTCAGTAATGAAAAAAGATATCAAAAATTCAAATAGTAAATTTGTACCCACACTCAAGCTGAGTAGAATGAGCTATGTCTGAGGTGTTTTATCCTGAATTTGTATGAGTAGATACATTTGGCGCGAAGCTAATCAAAAATCAGTTTTTTGGTTGTTGCTATGGCAACCGTGGGTCACATACATACCTGTCACGTTTGAGCGAAATCGACCAAGCCAGAAAAATCACAGAAGAATTAATATGTGAAAACTGTGGAAATCACACACACAAGTCGGTAGGCTGGTTGGCGATCCGCTCTGCTCAAAAAGAAAGCAACATGTTTTCGGCTGTTGTCACGGTAGGACATGAACGTGAAGCTAACGTAGGTTTATAACTAAAACCGAGTCCTGCTTACAAAGTTCGCAAGAAAAATTCAGTCTTTAGAAGTTACTTTATTTTATTGTTAGGACGTATTCTGTTGTTAAATTTATTATTTCCAACCGTTTTGCGACAGTATTTTCTAGATTGAAGGCAGCATTTACAGTTCATTCAAAGTTGCGTTGGGATTACGTTGATACAGTGTAACCATGTTGGCGCCGGTGATCTCTTGCCAGTGTGCAACGTAGCCAAAATAAAAAGCATGATCGTTTGAACACGGCTATAATTACAAAACTGGTAGGAGGTAATATGTTTGGGTGAAAGTTTTTGGCTGTTGCAATGACAGTGCTGGGCCAGGATTTGTTTCCAACTGTCAAGTATGAACAAAATCGTCCAAGCCAAAAAAATCACAGAGGAGTTAAAAGTCGTTGCTGATGAAAAGTTACCTCCACTTTGAGGTAAATTTTCTTGGTAATGAAAATAGACATAAGAAAAACAAACAGTATTTTTTTGCCTACACCCAAGCTGAGTATAATGAGCTACGTCCATGCTTTTTAATCGTAGAAATGTAGGGTGAGATACATTTTAGCGCGAATGTAAAAAAAATCAGTTTTATGGCTGTTGCCATAGAAACGGTGGGCCAGAATTTGTGTTCAGATTTTACAACCTAACTATACAGTGATTTGCCTGCCAAGTTTGAACCAAATCGGTTCAGCCAAAAAATCACAGAAGAGTTAAAAAGCCATTCATGGTGAACAGTTACCCCAACTTTGGGGTCAAATGTCTCGGTAATGAAAACAAATTCAAATAGTAACTTTGTGCCCACACTCAAGCTGAGTAGAATGAGCTATGGTAGAGGTGTTTTATCTTAATTTTGTAGGAGGAAATACATTTGGCGCGAAGCTACCCCAAAACAATTTTTTTGGCTGTTGCTATGACAACGGTGGGCCAAGTTTTTTTAAAGATTTTCTCCAATAACTAGAGTGAAGGTGTGACCTACCTGCTA